ACTGTGAATGGGTGGGACTGGGTGGGAGTGGGAGTTTATGTGACTGGGACTTTCTGGGACTGTGACCGTCTGTGATTGTGCCAGACTGGGCACGGGAGCGATTGGGACCATTTGGGACTGGGACTAGTGTTAGCTACTTAACCCCAAATCGACTGAAAGCGCACTTCCGGTCAATTGTCTAACTCCGTGACCCAGCACGAAAAATCCAAATTTTACAACAAATTTGTTACCGCTTACTTATAAGCACAAGTGGCACTAAATAATAAAATTAAAATTCTGGTAACTAATAACCAAGCGGTAAAGGTGACACGGGCCACCGCACGCAGGCTTTAGTTACATCGGTACTCGACAAATGGGAAGATTGAGCTATTCTGATTCCAACGAAAATCTACAAATACAACCACGGAAGACCTGTGTTGGCGCTGCAATACACAGTACTGCATTTAGCATTAGTACGTACTACGTACCAAAATTATGTAGTACGGCGTAAACCGCGTAGCCAATTAATTTTCGTTTAGCCACTCCCAATTAAACTCAGCAGCAGATGAAAAAGTATTTTTAAGTGTTCTAGGATAGTATTTTACTTTTTACAAAATATATGATTTTTCTGAATTTGGAGCCGGAAACAGTGCCCTGATTAGATCGCCTATTTAAAGAGCACAACAGTTCAGTGTTGTTTACGAGTATTTTAACTGAAAATGTGTGATGTCAACGTGTTTATTTACCAAAGGTGCCTTCACTTGGCGATGAGGTAGTGTGCCTGCGCTTGCACTTCTTCTTACTTCGATGGCTGTTGCCTATTAAACTACTCTCATGTTAGAATATGTAAATAATATGCGGTCACATAATATTATATACCATATCAGTTCGAAATGGGTGCCTATATTAAACTGGGTGCGAAAAGGGGTGCCTATAATAAACGGGGGTTTTAGAGCGGGCCTTTAACGTCTTCCTTCATTTTATCACTAAACATCCCACACAAATCAATATAACTCAAGACTCCATCTATCAAATGATTGTGGCCAAAGATATTGCTTCGGTCAGCTAGTAGTGGTAATAAAATGGAAAATTTACCATTTGCACTTTGCATATAATTGTTCTTCAATTTTAAGAGGACCTGATCGAGTAGATTATAAAATTAGAACTTTTGGCTCTTACTAAATTTCTTAAATCGTTTGTTCTGAATTTCTACGCCAACAGGGACAGAAGAGTGGGCTTATAACTTAAGAGCTTCCGGTTCTTAATTTTTAAGAACTTGCCAACAAGTAAAGATTGTAACTCTCTGGTATCTCTTTGCTGCATTGTTTTACGTGTGCATAACGTCTATGCAAGATTCACATAATCATACTCTTAAATCACAGAAAAAACTTAATTCATAAGAATAGTCCTAAACGTAATTCATAACTTTTTTTAATAGTTAACTCATACTCGCATTAGTTTGTTATACCCTCATTAATCTCCGGTCTGCCAATGCCTTTTTCTAGTTAGAAATAATTCTAAAGTGTTATTATTTTGAACAAATTTAGTTAAATTTACGCTACACAACCGTTGCCCCAGTCAGTCTCGCGCGTTGCGCTATTACATTTCAGGGTTCATGAAGTTTTTGAATTGCTTTTCATTGAAAAAACCATTGCAATGTAGTGCGTGGCTACGCCCTTGCGCGTAGCAACATTTTCATATTTGTGACCTATAGGGGACGGGATACTCTGTAGTATTCTTTTGATTATTATTTAGTATGTAGCCGGCATGCAGAAGCCCAATAAATCTGGTACTTACTTCACGACGTGATAACCTTGTTTCTGGAGACCAAGTCTGTGTATCATAATAATTTATTTTTAAATTTTGTTGTGTAAAATTTTTTACGAAATGGCTACGCGCGAGAGTATCGCGCGCGTAGAGGTTTGACTACGCGCGAGAGTTTCTCGCGCAAAGTCAAATGACTACGCGCGAGAGTTAGCGAAATTATATTAGAAAATAAAAAAATATAATATAATCGATTTGTGAATTAGCATTAATGTGGCAGGCATAAACCAGTACCATAACAACCAAGGTCAAATATTCTGTCAAGGCTCCATTAATTTCTAGGACGTAAAACTGTATTTTACCGGTACTATTTTACCGGCACAATTAAGCTACCTACCGGTATCCGTAACGGTTATAGTTGTAAATTTGTACTATTTACTCCTCTGGAAATGGACTCTGCACTGCTTAAAACCGGAGACCGCTTTATGTCCTATGAAGCAGCTGTAAAAGCTGTCCAGGACTGGGGAAAGGTGACCAATCAGGTCTTTGTAAACCCAGGAGGAAACGCACGGACATCGAAAACACATCCGCACCATGCAAGTTTCCCATACAGCTCCGCCCGGCTAATCTGCAAAAAGGGAGGCGAATATCGTCCTCACCGGAAGGACGAGCAGATAACCCACAAGTCCATCACAACGACGCTGAAGAGCGGTTGCAAAGCATACGTTCACCTCAAGCTTCTCAACGGCATGATGGAAATTGTACATCTGCCAGCCCCGGAGGATCATAACCATGAGCTCACAAGCATCGTTGCCCAGCACATCCCGGAAAACAGAAGACTGTCCGCGACGGAAGTTGATACCGTAGAACAACTTCTTACCAATCGCGTACCTCCCCGGATCATCGCGGGCACCATCAACGCGACGCGTCGGTCGACGGGACTGTTCGGGACAGTCATAACGAAGGACATTTTCAACCAGGGGACAAGAATTCGTAAGGAAAAACGACAGGGACGTCGGGAGGACGAGATTCTTACCCAGTTTCTGGTTCAACTTCGTGAGAACGATCAAACCGGTACCTACGATGTTTCCGTATCAGAGGATGAAAGCAATTCCCTACGTCTGGTTTTCTTACAAACAACAACCATGAAGGAAACCTTCGCTCGTAACCCACAGGTCTGTTTGAATAACATGATTTTGTTATCATCTTTGTGAAATTTTACATAGGTGTGTGTTTGCAGGTACTGTTTCTTGACAGTACTTATCGGATTAACATCGAGCACTACACCTTGTACGCCATGCTTGCGCAGGACGAAAACGGGTTTGGCCAACCGGTTGCTGTTGGATTTGTGGAAAATGAGAAGGCAGATACTCTTGGTCTGTTTTTTGACATGGTTCGGAGATCATCGGCCGCCGCTGCAGCAGCTGTTGAGGCAATTTTCGTCGACCGCGATTTTACTCAGATTGCCGTGTTACAAACACAATTTCCTAATGTCCCGGTGCTGATTTGTGCATTTCATGCGATAAAGACGTGGAAGTTTCGAATCGCTAAAGAGCAAATGACCGTTGCAGCGAAACAGGAACTGCTGTCCAGTTTCCGCCGACTTTTGTATGCCCATGATGCAGAGCTGTTCAAAGTGCGAGAGACAAATTTCCTGCAGAACTGTTCAGAAAGGCTGAAGGCGTATTATGAAGGTAACTGGAAAAATGATGCTGAAGCATGGTCAATGGCAAGCCGGCGAGAATTGCGCACGTTTGGCAACAATACAACAAACCGGATAGAAAGATTTTTTCTTACCATCAAAACTGCACTGCGCGGCTCCGGCCGTTCTATAGCAAAACGATTTCACCTAACGGAGTGCCTGGAAATAGTGATGTCAGTCATTGATTACAAGGCAAACCTCGCTAAATATCAGGACTACGTCAACAGTGCAAAGTCAATGGTTATGCATAACTTTCCGATTCCGGAAGTCGGCCGAGCACTGGGTACCGCAGTGACTGAGTTTGCCGCCAGAATCATTAGAGGTCAGTGTGTGCTGTTCCTCAAGGAGACGTACGATGTGGTCAGGAACGACAATTTGAACTGGGACGTCACTAACACTAAAGGTGGAAGATCGTATGAGGTATACAACCATCTGGGAGACCGCCCAGCTACACGAAATAAAACCGGTGCTGTTTTAGGTGACAGAGAACCGAAATACGACTGAACGAAGCTTTGTTTGCAACTGCTATGTCAACTGCGCGTTCGGGCTGCTGTGTAGGCACATAATACACGTGAGACGGGAGGAAGACTTGGATTTGTTTTCGGTTGCCGATATTCTTCCACGATGGCTGCGAAATGACCCCGCTGCCGGTACACCGGTGGACGTTTTCCCACGCGTCCTTCAAGCAGCGCTACAGGGCGAGCCGGACGAAGACGTAACAGAAGAAGATTCTTCAGACCAAACAGCACGGTATAACAGTCTCGGAGTTCGTTACAAGACAGCCCTGGACTTGAGCAAAGAAATCGCAAGCGAAATTTCTAAATTTGGTGCGGTGGAGTTTCGGCAACACCTAGCGGCATTGCAACTTTATGCGGAGATCATCCGCAGCGGCGTAATCCCCGTTGTATCCCACCCTGACCAGGTCGAAGCTGCGAGACCATCAACAGCGGATGCTGAAGCGCCGCAGGAAATTATGGAAACCCCAAACGCTATTGAAGCAGCCGAACTAGCGATGCCAGAAAACACAGTTGCAGGCAATGATCTAAACGTCCTGAATATCCCTCCATTTACTGTGAGGCCCGCAGGGCAAGTGCAGCCGCGCGGTCGACCTTCTGAGGGACGGAGGCATACGAAATTCAACCAAACAGCCATTACGCTGCTAACGCTAGCAGATGCTACTCCAGAAGCAAAAGAAACGCATAACCAAGGAAAAAAGCGGAAAGTCTCCGTTCAACCGCGTAGAAAATCGGCCCGTATCGAGCGAAGCCCAGTGCGTCCGGGCGAAACGGCCTCCATGCGCGCGAGGCGAATAATGGAGCCGATGCCTCCTGGCCAAAACGAAATCGTGCGCGAATACGGCATCACGCCCGTTCTCACAGAAGACATTGCAAACCTAAACCGTTATGGTTCTGACCTGGCGCTTCGGCTGTTAGTCGCTGGAACTTACCTCTTGCGAGAAGCTTTTCCACAGCGGGGAGGGTTGGAATCACCAGCGGAAATTGCTCTTTGCCAGCCAATTGACCAATGTTTTGCGCGGATACGCTTCCAGCGAAACATGGACAAAGATATTGTGCAGCCACTTTTCAACGGCGTAAATCACTATGTCTGCGCGCTATACGATTGTATGAAACCTGGCGTCGTACGGGTCTACTGCTCGACGGGACAACAGCCGACAGATCTGCTGAAGTTACAGCTGTTTCGATTGTTTTGTTTTCCGGACTCAAATGGACAGGTCGAAATCGAATACGCCCCTGTTTATGGACAGTCGCCGACAAGCAACAATTGCTTAATTTATGCATTTGCATTTGCTTATGATTTACTGCTTCGGAAAACCATCCAGACTGCGAATTACATCCCTGACCGGGAATTTCGGGTATGGTTTCGCGAAATTATCGTCACGGGAGTGTTAAAGCAACCCCCAAGAGCTCAGGGACGAAATGCCCGCACTAAGACGGTGATCACGTTTCAAAGCATTCGTGTTTCCGCAAAAGATGCCGAAGCGTTGGAGAAAGCAGTAAAGCTGCCGGCTAAGCGAAGGGACACTGTTATTTAAATTTGAATTGTGCCAGAGAATTAAAAACCCTAATGCTGATGCATCCAATTGTATTTAGTATTGCTTCGTCGATCACTGCTTCGTCTATCAGCATAAAAAAACAAAATCTATCGCGCGTAGCTGATTCAGTACTGTTTTTACTACCGGCGAGAGCTCTCGCGCGTAGTCAAACTACTACGCGCAGGAGCTCTCGCGCGTAGACTAAGTGCTACGCGCGTGAGAAACTCTCGCGCGTAGACCTGACCAATTTTTTATTGACAACAACCATCAATGTGTTGAAGATGTAGAAATTTTAAAGTTTTTTTTAAAATTTCGGTTTAAAACTGACCGGAAGTGCGCTTTCAGTCGATTTAGCGTTAAGTAATGTCATGCTGTGTGCTTGATGTATCAAGCAGCCGCCATCGGTGGCTGTTGGTGTAGATTTCCAGCATTTCCTATGAAAGTGCTCAGTTTATGGCATCCTTTTTCCCCTATTTCTGTATTTTTCCCTATTTGGGCAATACACTCTTCTTTTGTGAGAGACCCGTGTTCTCTCACACCCAGATTTATTTGTATTTGGAAAGGGGTGTCAGACCTGCCTTCTGACAGTAGCGAACACTAGTTCCAGTCCCAACTGGTCACAGTCCCAATCGCTCCCATGCCCAGTCTGGCACAGTCACAGACGGTCACAGTCCCAGAAGGTCCCAGTCCCATAAACTCCCACTCCCACCCAGTCCCACCCATTCACAGTCACAGACTTTAGCAATACCCGTGCTTTGGGTGCAAATGCAACGGCACAACGTGCGCGTCGGTTAGGCCAATTCTGATTGGCGATCGCACGGGGCGGGTGCACTATCACGTGTCCGTATACATACTTAACTGCATGAAAACAGACTTTGCCACCATGGTGCCGCCCAAGAACGGGTGCGGATGCGTTTTAAGTGAACGGATTTGCAGAACGCCGTAATTAGAGCAAGATACGGAATATACATGTATATACGAGTATCGTGATTTATGAGTATCGTATTATCGTGATTTATCCCTTTATCACGGAATAATTATACATGTATTATATCCTGAATTATCCATATTATCGTGAGCAAAGTATAGTACTTTGATAGTTTGATTATAGCAACCCATAAAAGGCGGCTGTTATTATCTTATATTCATAAAGGAAAACCTTTACGCTTAACTGCGACAGACTGGTGAGTTATATGGTTGAGTGCAATTGTGCAAACGACTGACACGATTCACATGTATATCAGTACTTTATCGATCGCACAGCATAAAAACGCTCCACACCGTATTATCGCCATTATTACAGTAGAACAAAAGACAAGATCGGTGGAATTGCTAAGTATTTCTTCTGTAAGATTTGCCGTTCATTATAAGGCAAGTGCGCGTTTCAATGGATTACAATAGTGGATTTGCGGTGACAAACTGCATCTATACACGAAATCGATACATACAAACAAGTGACGTCACGGTGACGTTGTGAGCCATACATTCAAAGCTCAATTCTAGCGATCTCTACGTCACTTGTTTGTATGCATAGATTTGGTGTATATATACAAGTTGTCAGCGCAAATCAACTAATGAGAGCCGAAAGGATCGAGACATTACCCAACCTAAGAGCAGAGCGTTCGTTTTTTTGCCTCAGCCAGCTCAATTCCACAAACAGAGGGAAAGTGCTGCATCAGCGCTCAGGGATAATGGAAATAGCGATTGCTATTGGGCGGTGTTTGTTTTCATCGTTCAATTTTACGTTAATACAAACAGACCGCGAGCCCCATTCACTTTCCATTCATAAAGGTGAAAAAGCAGTAATGACAGCAGTCAGTCGGCGGTAGCCGAGTTATTATCCCGTACTGAATTGTTCCTGTTACTGACGTATTCTTTACTGCTACTGCTCGTAACATCGCTCTTGCTCGAACATGCATATGGAATCAAAAAGTGTAGTGTGAGGAAGCGAACTACAGTAAATGGCTTGTGCAATTAGGAACGCCTTTGGTACTACATATGACTATGGCAAGAAAATCCCGCTGCTCACCGGGTATTGCTGAAGTCTGTGACTGTGACTGGGTGGGAGTGGGAGTTTATGTGACTGGGAGTTTCTGTGACTGTGACCGTCTGTAACTGTGCTAGACTGGGTCTGGGAACGATTGGGACTGTGACCATCTGGGACTTGGAACAGTGTTCGCTACTTAACGCCAAATCGACAGAAAGCGCACTTCCGGTCAATTTAAACTGAAGTTAGAAGTGTGTGCGTTAAACTATAATCAAAATTCATCTGGCCAGTCAGATAGCTCTGAACATTGAAAGTGTCCGTATGTTTGAGGCCACCTGAACGCAGTTGCTTACCAGGGCACATTTTCCGGGTCCATATCCAGAAAATTCCAATCTTTTGCCGAAACGTAGTAAATATCTATAGTACAATTAAAAAACAATTTCATGCGCTGAGGCTCAAAGGGCGTGGCAAAAAAAATTAAATGAAAACCATAATACAACATAGTAGTGAACATACTACGAAAATACTTTGTACTTGTACCACAGTGCGCTACTGCAGTACTCGTACAGGCTGTTTACGTACTTTAATAATAATAATTCAGAAACATTTCCTATTTTGCCGGAAGGTACTGAATGATTGCGAAATGTTTAAAAAAGTAATAATACCTGCAAAGGCCGATAAGGTGCCGCAAATAATAGCAAATTTACGAAAGTAGAGTGCAGTGCCGCAGCTATTTAACCAGATTTTCAGGCATACCTCGTTTTAATAACTGATATCTATATTGTTTTAGGCTTACTGTATGGCGCGTACCCGTGTTTGGAGAGAAAAATAACAGACAAAAATTTGGTCGCTAAAAAATTAATAACGAAATTTTACAAACACAATGCGATCCATATAAGTTTGCCGTCCCGTACCTTTCAGCTGCAATACTATCATACTCGTACCTGTAATCCAGAAAATACCCATCTTTTGCAGAAACGTAGTAAATACAAATAGTACAATTAAAAAAATAACTTCATATGCTGCGGCTCAAAGGGCGTTGCCAAAAAACTTTAAATGAAATCCATAATAACATACTATCACAATGCAGACTGCAGTACTTGTACAGGCTATTAATTACGTAATATTAAGCCCGATCTTTTGCAAAAGGGAAGGATAGAAATGCGAAATGCTTAAAAAATATCATGTGCAAAAGTCAATAGGGCGTCGCCCAAAATAATAGTTTTCACAAAACATTTGGACCCGGAAAATAAGCCCTGGTTCGATCGCCTAATTTAGCAGTACAACATTTCAGTGCTACTTATTTAATTGTACTATAGATATTTACTTCGTTTCGGCAAAAGATTGGAATTTTCTGGATATGGACCCGGAAAATGTGCCCTGGTAAGCAACTGCGTTCAGGTGGCCTCAAACATACGGACACTTTCAATGTTCAGAGCTATCTGACTGGCCAGATGAATTTTGATTATAGTTTAACGCACACACTTCTAACTTCAGTTTAAATTGACCGGAAGTGCGCTTTCTGTCGATTTGGCGTTAAGTAGCGAACACTGTTCCCAGTCCCAGATGGTCACAGTCCCAATCGTTCCCAGACCCAGTCTAGCATAGTCACAGACGGTCACAGTCACAGAAACTCCCAGTCACATAAACTCCCACTCCCACCCAGTCCCACCCAGTCACAGTCACAGACTTTAGCAATACCCCCCAAAGCACTCGTGTTGTGCTGCGATTGACAGCTGATATGAGAATCAAGTTGCAAGTCCATATCGATAAACATGCTGATTTTTAGTCTGGTGTTCGCAGTTGATTACATTTTTTTAGATTCGTCGATAAAATTCTAGTTCTGTACTAGTAAACTGTGTTCCATTATTTTCCTGAGATGGACTGAATCTGACTTTATTATTGCTCTAAAAAATCTCTCTAGAAGGAATCTCTGTCATACGATACAGTATTTTAAGGATTAAACTGGATAAACATGGGGAAAAAGCATCTATTGGTTATTGCGCTCCCCGCATACGGCCACTTGATCCCCACTCTGGAGCTGGCCCGAAGCCTGAGCACCTTCCACACCGTTACCTTCGCGGCGTCCGCCCAGCGCACCACCCAGCTCTCCACCAAACACCACTTCCATCCGACACCCTCCGAGGATATCACCGTCCGGGGGATCGATGACGGGATCCCTGAGGATGTCCCAGATCCCCAGGAATTCGCAAACCGGATCATGCATAGTTTCTTTCCGGCGGTGGAACGCCTGCTCCGCAGCGTCCCCACGGGAACGGAGCCCGGGGCGGTGGACGCCGTCATCACCGACAACTTTTGCGGGAAACCCATGGAGGTGTGCACCGAGAGGGGGATTCCTTATTATCTTTTCCACACACTGGCCACCCGCGGGCTGCGATTTTTTATGCGGATGGATGACAAGACGAAAATTGTCCCGGTGACGGATTGTCGGTTGTTCGACATCCTCCCACCGCCCGGGAAGAGTGTCCCGGAGGTGTCGGCCATGTATGCCGAAATCATGCTGAACATCCGGCCGGCGACGATGGGTTCCCACGGGGTCCTGACGAATTCCTTCCGGGTGATGGACCAACCGGACCTGGATGCCCTACGCTCGGAGTCGGATTTCGGAGACCTCCCGATGTTCTACGTCGGACCGATCTTCCCGCGGGAGCCGAAGACCTCCCCTGACGATCGGGTGCTGAAGTTTCTGGAAAAGCAACCTCCCAAGTCCACGGTGTACGTCTCTTTTGGGACCGGAAGTGGCCCATCGGAAGAGCAGACCGTGGAGTTGGCCAACGCTCTATTGGTGACCGGTCGGCCGTTCGTCTGGGCTCTTCGGGAACAGATGCACAGGGTCCTTCCGGAGGCTATCCAGAAGAAAATGCAGGACGACAACGCCGGGTTCGTCATCACCAACTGGGCGCCGCAAAAAGCGGTGTTGGCCAGCGACCGCCTGCGGGTGTTCGTCTGCCACTGCGGCTGGGGCGGCCTGATGGAGGGCCTCTACGCAGGGGTGGCCATGGTGGCCTGGCCGATGTTCGGGGATCAGTGGCTGAATGCGGAGTGGCTTGCGGAGCACGGGGTGGCCTTCCGGATCCCGGACACGAAGGCCCGGGGTGGGAGGCTGGTCCCGGCCTCGGAGATCGCCGAGGCGATCCGGACGGTGGCGGGGGTGGACGGCAAGGTGTCGGCGTACCAGCGGGCGGCCGAACGCTGGCAGGCGGAGGTCCAAGCCGCGCTAGGTCCACAAGGGACCTCCAGTAAAGAGTTGGAGGGGTTCGCCATGTTGACATTGAATATGGAACCACCAGACCCGATTTCCGATTGATTTAGCTTAAACAGATTTTCTTCGTTCAGTGATTTTGCCACATTTTCAGCTCGCTTACTCGTAGAGAACCACGGAAACAGCGTAATAATGTACAATTCGTAATCTCTTGAGCCATAAATCTCATGAAAGTTTATTATGGTTTCGTGGCTGCACTTGCGATAAACGGACAACCCGTGTTACCCATTTATTTCCGGAAATACGTGCTGTAGTTCTGATCTCTGAACCTTACCCGATAAGAAATATTTACTGAATGCGCGCGGCATTTCTGCGAATTACGTGTAAAATGTTTTTTTTTATTTTGGCGTTGAAGAAAATCAAGTGTTGTGGAGTGGACGATTTAGCTCGGCAAACTGATTTATTCATCATGGTACAAAAGCCAGCGTCGCACAGAATAAATTTTCAAACAAAGATTTGCCTCAGTTCGCCCAAAAAGAGACAGTCGCCACTCGCCACCACGAAATGTCCAATAATTCTTGAAACGAAACAGTTATTTGACGCCCAACAGACATGATATAGGTAAGTAATTTTTCAGCGCGTATGATACTGCTATTACACAGTTCTTGCTTATAGATCATTATCCAAACATAAAGTCGAAAGAAGTCCCGCTCAGCAGTCGGTCGCCGGATAAAGTACAGGTCGCACATGAAATCGTCGCTTGTCCCGCTGCACTCGCGACATCATGGCCGCGTTCAGCACCCATAGGGTCAGTGTAGATAGCGACGTCATGTCTAAGCGGCACAGCTCGGCTCCCGTCCAGCTCGGCTTCCCACGGTAACGGTTTGTTAGCCGGGGATCGTGGCACTGATAGGTCACCAAGATCTAGAAAAAAACCATCGAAATTTCGAATTCAGTCGGGCGCAGCCGCTGAGCAGTGTGAACTAGCTAAGTCACTTGCTAGAAGCGAAGGTATCGTCCGATTACGGATCGCAGTTATTTTGTCCCTGTGCATGCAAAACATGTGGCACTTGGTGTAATGTCAGTTGCCTGACTACGTACAAGGATATCGGTAAGAACCTGTTTATTATAACAGGAGAGATTCGATCCATGTGTGACATGACTTCGTCTTTTAGACTTTCGCTATTTTCGTTTGCCATGTTTCAGGATTGGTAGATTTGCTGCTGTACGGATTCTTCGTTCGAAATCAACATTCCATCATTTTCCATGTGGTTAAGAATTAAACTTACCGTTAGTTTCAATGCAGTCGCTTCCAATGCTAATCGGGATAAATTCTTCATTTGATTGTACGAGCTCGTATTATTGAGCTGAATGCTCTTCGTCTTTGCACTTATTGTGAAGAAAATTCAGCACGAAACTAAACGTTCAGGTTCTTGAATGCTTTTTTTCAGGAGAGAAAATGTGAATCCACCTACCCGTTTAATGGTGGCGCAGGTTTGTGACAGTTCGTTGACCTGCACTTTCTTCACAATCCAACTGGATAGCCGGAGAACATCGAGCTGAATCTCCATCCAGTGCAACTGCCGCTCCAGTAGTTCATACAAATCCGATTGCACATCGGGCAGGGTGCCGCTGAGGACGGTGACGTCGTTGGTGAAAATCGTGGCGTCGCTGCTCAGCATCCTGTCATTCTGCTCGTCGCCGATGCCACAAAACTGGCAGTTGCGCCAGATGAGGCACTCCACGGCCGCCGCCGCCCCGATACATGTCTTGGCAAGCAGTTGCACTTCCGTCGAGAGCCGATCTTCACCGAGATCCCAACGGCAGCGGTTGGCTATAACCTGCGAAGCAATGAGATAAATTTTCAGTAGCCCACCTTCGCCCGGTGGACTGGAGCGGGTGGCAAACTGATTAATTTGAATTCACCATCATTCAGTAGATCGGCATTCTGACTTTTGAGCTCAGCTTCGCAGATATATTCGAGTATTGTTAAAATACTCGAGAGAAAGCTGCCCGAGAGAAAGGATTTGGTTCTATAGATTATGGACAATCGCTGGCGTTAATTGCAGAATTTTAACCAAAAAACAGGAGTTGCACAAGCTATCTGCAGGAAGCGGATAAAAATACTTATGTAAATGTAAGACGGCGCGAGAAATCGGGTGCCGCAGAATCCAGGGACAAAAGTTACCCGCAATTCTATTATCATTAATTTACGATTAAAATTCGAACTTTCGGCGCCAGCTACCGGCATCTGATAACTGACCTGCAATTTTTTTGTTTTGTTACCGCGCTGATCGTATAGAGCACTGATCAGACGCAGACAGTCGCTAAGCTCTTGCTGCCTCGAGCGCTGCGTGGCGTTGGTAATGGCGACCATTTCCGTGGTGGCGGTTAAATACCGAATGACGCATACCCAACCGAGGCGGCGGTCGTGCCGGCGTCGCCAAAGTTGAGCGCCAAGCGCTGGCTGGTGTTATCCTGTTGGATGATGGAGTTCCACAGCGGGCACACGCGGCGATAGGACGGTCGCTCATTCGTACCGAAGCAGGAGAGAACCTCTCGCAGGAGTTCCGGTGGGAATGCGGCGAACATGTAAGGGGACGGCTGAACAGCTGCTGCATGGAGAGGAACCTTAATTCTGGGTAGTGTCCAGTAACCATCGGCGAAAGTCCAACCGGCCTGTAGACGGTTTGCCATCTCCGTTTCGGCCAGTTCATTCATCCGGTTCTATTAAGTGATTATACGAGTATACACAAAAATGTCTCATCCCGGCAAAGCAAACAGCCTAACGGTTTTTTTTATCATATGGTACGTAATACCATACCAGCTCTTCTTTTGATATTGGCTTTAGCTTCGCGGGTGTCCAGCTGTCCTGAAGATACAGCAGGCTCTCGTTGAACCTGCTGATGGGGAATGCCGTATAGTTATGGTTGGTTGCCATCAGCCCTTCCTGCCACAGACACCACAATGCCAGCTCCATCGGCTGCCCCGTTCGATACTCCTGCGGCAGTTTACACGCTCGCGTAATGTAATCATCGGCCCCGACAACGCGCACTACCCGCTCCCGGCGTCTTAACGGAAGCACGGGGGCGCTGACGAATTTCACCACGACGCTATCACCCATTTCGATTCGGATATAAACGAATTTATTCCACAGAACCCGGCGCACCAGGAACACCGCCGGATACCATGTCCACGGATGGTCGGAGGCCGTCCGCGCCAGAACCTGGAAGGTCCCAGAGAACGCGGGATTGTTCAGTGCATTGTTGTACTCTTCTGCCCAGCCGTTTGAGGAAGAGAAGCGCCCCTGCTGTGAGCTGAGACAGTGTAGCGCCCTTTCAAATTCGACAAACTGGGAGCGTCCCTCAGGCACGCCGAAATCTGCGATCAAGCCGCCGTGGACGGTGTTGACGACCAGACCACGCTGGAGGAGTCCTTTGGAATTTTCCACATCCACGGCGTTCCATTGGTAGATGTCGGTGCCAGGATAAATCTCGCAGGGAGGCAATGAGTCTGAACAATCGAACGATCGGGTTCCGTTGCTCAACATTGTCGTATTACTCCAGATAAATCGTAATGCTTAGTAAGTCTCATAAAGTTGTATAAGCAACTCCGCATACAAATATTATTTTATCCGCGTGGGTTCGCTTGTATCTCAGAACAGCCTATGAAACAAATCAATGCCTGAACGTTCTGAATTGGTAGCTGCTGTAAAGCCGACCTGAATTTTAAGGCAGCACTCAAGAAGCTGTCTGCTGCTCTATCCTCGTCCTCCGCTGTGTTCAACGTTCAACTGACCCGAGGACAGCGAGAAAAGGGGCGGATATGATTGCATAATTCCAGCTAACTACACTCCGTAGTCAAGACAGCCAGGTCGCCCTTGCATCTAAACGAAGACTGTCCAGAGATAAAGCACTGTGGGCCCGTGGCTTTACTCTTATGAAAGGGAAGAAAGCCTGCAGTTAAACCATAATCTGTATCTTTCATTATCTGTCATTATGGTTTAGCTGTGCAAGCTGAAGATTGAAAGGGAAAGACCGTACCTGAGATATGGCGAATGCTCGGATACTTGTTGGTAATGGATACGGATTCATGCTTGCTTAGATACATGCTCCAGGAACTAAATAATCGTTTGCCGGGCCCGTGGCCGGTTGAATACGTAATACTAATGCCGATTGGAAAGTCACTTTGTAGTGTAACTAATTGTTCAACATAAATTGGTACCAGGTTTTCGTAATTATACGGAATCTACTTGATTTTTTCCCCGTAATAAGAAACTAAAAACATCCGCAGTTTCGTTTTCTTTATGATTGCAAGAATAATACGGAATCGTATACGGAAAAATTTTCCATAACGAGCGGTAATTGTATCGGATCGTACATTCGTCTTTTTCAACTGACACTGGCGTTATCCGAACTTTGGTAGATGGATCTAAGGTCACCAGGGATGTCCGTGCTAGCCTCCTATGGCGCTGTTGTTAACATGCGACGTGTCACATATACCAGTAGGAACATATCTGCTGTCGTGAACTAAAACAGAGGGAAAGTGCGGCATCGGCACTCAGCGATAATGAAAGACGAGAAACTACCGAGAGCGATTGCTGTTAGGCGGTATTTGTTTTCATCGTTCGATTTTACCTTAATACAAACAGACCGCGATCGATCTCCACTCTCTCCACTTTCCATTCAATGAAGATGAAAAGCACTAATGGCAGCATTCAGTCATCGGTAGCGGTGTTATCATCCCGTACTGAATTGTTCGGAAATAATAGGGGAGAGCCCATCCGGAGCCGGTGCTGTGTTTATTTTTATAGCTCGCGGTTACCTTAATAAAAATAGGCCGTGATCATTCTCTCCGCTTTCCATATATGAAAGATTGAAAAGCAGTTGATATACACTCAGTCGTTGGTGGCGGAGTTACTATCTCCGTCTCGTAGTAAATTTTTGCTGCTGACTGACGAAACACTCCTGCGCCTGCGCGAACAGATACAATCAGAAAGTATGAGGGACCGAATCGAGATCAGTCAGTATCACTCTATTAGGCTATTAGCAATGCTTCATGAACTGACAGTATATTAGCCACCTCATCATTAGTTTTGAACGCCT